CCCTTTCTCGACCGCGTTCTTGATTTTTTCTTTTGTAACCTCCCCACGATTTGAAATATTTTTGTACATATTTTGCAACGCCATATTACAACTTGAACATAGGGTAATTTTACTAGCCAGAGTTGGATTAGAATTATTGATCGCCGCCAACTCGGCTAAGAATTTTTTAATGGTCAATTTCTCTGCTTTATTCATCAATTGAAGTAATATCTGCTGAACTTGGATCAAAGAAGCGACGGTGTCTTCCTGGTTTAATCTTTCATCATTGAAATCATCGACACTTTAATTTCCAATAAATAGAAAACAAAATAAATGAGTATTGAAAAATAAATAATTAATTAATTGAATTACTTGAATATTCCATATATATGATGTGCCTACCCGTTAATAAGATTTTTTATATCGTGCTCGGCAATGGTTTGAAGAAATTCTAAAAATTCACCAGCTTCAGATAATTCCTTAATTAAAGGCCAGTTGTTTTCGTTGTCGATCAAGGTGACATGATTATTTAGAACGTCAAAAAATGAATGCAATTTCCCTAACGTCAAAATGTCATCTTGGAGGATCTGGCGCGATTTTGTTAGCCAATCGTTATTACTTTGATTATGTGGAACCTTGAATATTTCCACAATGGTGACCAATTGTTCTAGACGTTTAATCCATTCGGGTACGGATGCAAGACGTTCGAGGGTACTAACAAAATTCTTTTGATTCTTGTCGAGGCGAACAAATTCTCCCATTAATTCGAGCTCAGCACCAACGTCCACAACCCCTTTCCAGAGATAAGAAGCCTCGGTACATTTTAATTTCTCCCAATCCTTGCCTTTATACTGTTTACACAATTGAATATACTCGTCAAATGTCGCGGGTAAAATTTTATTGGAGACGATTTCAACAGTTAAGATTTCGGTCTCATCATTGATGTGCTTATCAAAAACGTTTGCGAAAGTTCGTGATCCCGCAAATTTGAATGCTTTTTTCGCCATTCCCATTGTATCTTTATGGAACTCCCAATGATCAGGGGACAAAGTATCTTTAAGTGTAATCTGGAATAACCTCTTGGATTCAGAATCTATATTCGAAATATATCCATTCACGTCGGAGACCTTTGAAATGGGACAGAAAACTTCATAATACACCCGAAGTTCATTCAAGGTAAACTCATAAGCCTGACACTGCTTTCTAATCGCCACGATGTCGGATTTTGAGACGGTCACATTAGTCAACTTCTTTTTTGTGCTGGAATGGTCAAAATATGTAGACAACTCATCATCATTGTATTTAAGAATTGACTGGAGCAATTGGATGGCAATCGTTTTTTCTGCAACCATGTTCGCCAGCTGAGAAATCGCAACACGTATTTGTTGAACATGAGGATGTGTTTGCAATGCCGAAACTTGACCTTTAGCATTAAAAATAAGCTGCCAAAATTTACGAGATTTAAGAAGATCCAGATGATGTTCAAATGTCGAAGGTGGTGTGAACCGTTTCTGCAATTCGGTCATGATGTAACAAAGTAACCTTTCGCAAAGCCTAAATAGATAATAAGTTAGATCTGTAAGAGCTTCAACAAAATAATTTTCACACCTACTTACTTATTCTGAACATTCAATTCCTTAGGTTTTGGTTTGCCACAGATACATTTGATCTTTTCTACAAGCTGTTCATCGGCAGCAACAACAGATTGTTTTAATTGGCCTTGAGCTATTTCAACAAATTGATTGACAACGTTTTCATTTAGACTGAAAACAGATGCTGTTGCTTGAAGGATCCGCACTTCCGAGCATTGCTTAACCCGCATGCTGGCAATATTTGCTAATTCATTATAAAGATTTCTCCTCTCGCCGATCAAGGAATATATTTGTGATAAATATTCAAAAATCCTTGACACAAATTTCCCTTCGTCACTGATAGAATCATTCAAACGCGCTAAAACACTTTCAAACCATGACTTGCAAATTATAGGAATTTTGGGGTTCTTGTTATCTGAGAAGTTTGCTCCCTTAAGCCATACGCTCAAAAGTTTTACAAAAATATCTAATAAATTAAGATCTTTTGATCGTGAGATATTCTCCAATGCTTTCAGTGATTGTTCTCTTTTCCATTTCATTTTTTTGTCCAAGAGAAGATTTTCTATTGACTTTAAGTTAGACTCAGTCCATTCGCATAAACGAACACTTAATAATTCTAGAACTCGAGCTTTGAAAAATTCCGAAGCTTCTTCCTGAAGATCTGCCGGGACCCTGTTAAAATTATTGAATAAACCGTTTGGATCGTCCTGCCTAATATTTAATTTAATACGTTCGAGAAAATATTTCCGTATATTTTGATCGACCATTGAGGAGTGGTCGATATCTTTCCACACTGCAAAAAGTGTTTGCATGGTATTACACATGTTGATCAACCACTGAAATATGATGAAGAAAAATTTAATAAGAAATCACACTGAAAGCAAAGTCAAGTCATATAACTAACATTAATTATACTTACTATTGAGAGTTTTACATATGCTTTCTCATTTATTCCTTTTATATAAGGCTTTGCATATTTCTTCCAATGATTGAAAAATTCATTCAATTCACCGTTAAATGTCGTCCTGGTAATTATGTCAACAAAGGTATAATGTGGATCTAAGATGTGAGCAGACTTAAAAAGCTTAATCCACTCAAATGACCGGTACCTAATACAATGTTGAACTAAAACAGATATGACTGGTGCCATTATTCCTAGGACATCAGAAGGCAGTGTATCTTGTTGCACATTTTCAAGTATTTCTATTAAATCAGCAGACTGAAAATGTGGAGGCAACATATTTTGATGCGAATTATTTTTTTGCGTTACGCAGTATGCAAGGAGGACGCACAGGAAAAGTCGTTGCTCTTTACGTTTCGCATCGAGCAGGCAATTATAAATAAATTCAAAATTAGTGGCGGCAGCCGTAATGTTTGGTTGACTCTTCCTCAATGATTGATATTGCATAATCTTATCTTTAATATTTTTAGAATTTATTGTTGAGTATATAACATCGACGAACGCAAAATCTTTGAGGCTATAGATAACATGTTTTGAACTGTTTGTCCATATGTCATATTGATCATTGAGTGTTGTGTTCAACGTGCGATTATGCCGCGGTCCGTCTCCTTCAAAATCCACATATGTTCCTTTCCACGATTTTTGGTAAATGACGTACTTATACTTAATTTCCTCCATTTCATCTAAAATAACAATATCGACAGTTTCTGATCTCCAATAAGTTGGGAAACGAC